ATGCAGAGAAGAACACTGGCTGAGGCACTTATCAAGCCTGGCTTAACGGATGGAAGTCTTGCGATGTCTGAGGTGCGTTCCAACTTTAGCCCAAATCACGGATGTCGGCAGCTTCGAGCCGATCATAACTTGCTCCGCAGCATGATCTGCAGGATGATGTGTTCTTTTCTTGTTTGTTCCTAGTTTCTCATCACCAGTCCGATAAACAGTACAGTCGTGGACAAGCAAAGCCCACTAATAAAAATGGAAATGTATTGATGGCTACCAAAGTGCCCAGAAAACGTGCAGATACGTTGAGGGAAGCTTCTGGCCAAATTTCAGCCAAGTCTCACGAGCCGTTTTGGAGAAAATGGCCATATACAGAAATAGACCCTAAAGTTTTGGCCGGACACCAAAAAGTGCCAAGAAAAATATGAAAAATACCGGAATCGCTTCCTTTCACGGAGAACAATCTGCCCATCAAGTTTCGAAACAATTTATCAAGCGGTTCTTCTGGAAAAAATTGCCAAACATTGACCCAAATTGGGCACTTAGTCACTTTTGATGTGACATCTATCACGGGACTAAGAAATTCCATCACACTAGGCTTTCTCAATGCAGGGAAACAACAGGGAAATCCCTTTCTGATAGAATCTTTGCCCTTTCTGAGTAGCTTCCAGCCGAAGCCCAGCACAAGGTACCAACTTTCGATGATTTCTGGCCGGTTTCGACCTGTTTTTCTCCTTAAATGTTGCAGTTTTTTAGTCGAAAATTTTGGCCACGCCAATTCCTCGTGGGAAAAACTTCGGAGGTGCGTTTTTCGACGCAATTCGCAAATCCGAGCCAGAATCTGGAAAAATCTCACCTCTAGATACATTATTTACCGAGATACCGAATTAGTGGGCTTTGCTTGTCCATTGAAAGACTCCGCAAAGGTCCAAAATTCTCGACAGTTGTGGAGCACCTCGGGAATACAATAACCCCGACTTCTAGACTTTTTTTTCGACAAGCCTTCTTAATAATTCAATTGGATGGACGCATTCACGATGGCGCAATACAGCCACGTCGATTTTTATGACAGGCAGTTGCTAGGGAGCACGGAACGGCGTGAGGCAGTCCCGTTCTGTGGAGCATCACCTTTGAACCCTCCTACGATTAGTAGTCTGATCGGGGCGCACGGGTGGGGACGAGATCTTATCTCCTCTCCTCGAGATATTCCTAGTCTCGGAGACTAGCGATTCTGTGCGGGCGAGCGCACACTTGATTCTGACATTGATTGTTTTCTTAGTTTTTTCTGGGCTAAGGGAAATTTCCGTGATATTGGGTAGATTATACACAGACGGGGAACGGCACTTTGGATACTTAGCTGCTGTATTTTCGCCTTGATTGTGCTTTTCTGGGACTTTTTCGCTCTCTTTCCTCCTTTTTCACTTTCTGGTTTGCTTGATGATAGCTGATTTTCCGCTTTTTTCTGCTCGCAGTTGCTTGCACAAGTCGAAAAAAGTCAAGGTGTGAAACTACCGATGTGCTAGAATTCAATCCTCCACAGAACGGGATTGCCTCGGGCCGTTCCGTGCTCCCCAACAACTGCCTGTCGCCAAAGTCGACGTGGCTGTATTGCGCCATCGTGAATGCGTCCATCGAATTAATTTATAAAGAAGGCTTGTCGAAAAAAAAAGTCAGGGAAAAGGCTAGAAGTCGGCGTTATTGTATTAATATATATACTGCAGGTCGCAATGACGGGTGGGGGTAAAGCACATTGGAGTGTAAATGGTGGTACAGATCCTTCTTCTCGCGATCGGATTGCTTTTATCAACGGTGTAGCACATGCCCCTTGATTTCAAGTCTGGACCCAAAGAAAAGTTAGTCGGGGAAAGGCTAAAAGTCGGCGTTATTGTATCAATCTGCAAGCCGCACTGACAAGTAGGAAGGGAGGGGTACCGTTGGCGGCTGGGCTCAGGTCTGTATTTGGTAAGAGAAGTTGATTTCCGAGGGGTGTTTGGGGGAACTGGCACCGCTTCTTCACGAATTCTGAGTGCGTGACAATATGAAATGAAAACTAATAGCTGCCTGTAGGCATGGGTGACAACGCGTATGTTTTCCGTGAATAAACAGCTGGTTTCAGTACTGTTTCAGTATTTCTTCTTGAAAGTCATACGAAAACTTAACGAAAACCTCTTTGCATATCCACATAAGTATTCATATTGATTGTTTGGAAAGTCTGTAGCCGTAGATTGGACTTTCATATGTTTTCTGCGAAAGAAAACACTTGGAAAACACTTTATTTCCATTATACGAAGTATATTGAACGATATCTTTGGAACTTGAAGTCATAACTCATGGTGTGGTCATGTGATGTTACCACCCTGTTTTTGGCCACGTCCGTCGTCGATTGTATTTTCTTATGTCTCTCTCAACACCCTCGATTTGAATGAGCAAAAGCCCTCGCACCAAGCATGGCCTGATTTCAGTTAGAGTGTGTTGTTTCCACCGTTCTTTTCACTAATCTCACACGTAAATTTCTAGGTACTACTTTCTTTGATATTCAGAAGCTGCGGCGACTCCAACGTGCACGCATGGATTAACCGTGAATTGAATAAAAGCTTCGCTGTATGATCCCAGCCAATTGACGTCCTTTCCATGTAAAGTGACCCATTTTAGCGAGCTGCAGTGTGTTTTCTATCAATACGTTTTCTGCGTAGCGCTCACACGTATACTCGAGATGTTCCCTTATGGCTCTCTCAACACCCTCGATTTGAAGAAGTCCTTTCCATGTAAAGTGACCTATTCTAGCGAGCTGCAGTGTGTGTTTTCTATCAATACGTTTTCTGCGGAGCGCTCAGCCGTATGTTTTCCTATCTTTCTTTTGAAATCTCACTTATGGTTCCGAAAGGATGCCTGTGCGGATTACTCTTGTACGAATGAGGAAGTTTACGAAGGTTGAGATGGTTGGGATGCACAAGGTCATACCTTTGCGAAATAATATAACTACAACTTTCGTCGTCATCCCAAGTACCAGTGCAAGCGCCCAGACAAGTTGGAAAGCCCATGGCAGGAGAACACCAGGCACACGTACATAATTTTCTGTGGCTAGTCCTCGTCTTCTGCGAGACGTGCCAAGAAACCTGTTCTCGAGGTGATTTAGTGCACGCCTGTGCCTCGAAGGCAAGCCCAGGTGTGATAGCGTGTCGTCTTCGTGCCTGGAGGGATGCAGGACAACGTGGTGGAATCGACAACACATGAAGGGAAAAGGAAAAGACGAGAGAAGGCGGACGTCGATATGAGGCGGTGGCGTGTCGACCCACAAGGCAGGTTTCAAGAGGTGGTGATGGCTGAAAACGAAACGGGTAAGTACTTCTTTGTGCTTAACGTCTTGAAAGACTTAACGAACGTTTTTATTCTTCTCTTCTAGAGATTCTCAACCACGACCCAACGCCATCCAATGTCCGCAAGCGACCCGCGCGTAGAGACGGCGATACACCGTGTCGAAGCCTGAGGGATTGCGGGCCGTGTAGTATGTTGAATGGCATTGGGGGTGTTCAAGAACTGCCAATACAAAGGTTCGTTTAGTTATTCAAGACTCCACGCGACAGGGAGTACTTACCATTTTGTTTACAGTGAAACGTGCCTACCCGACCTGCAGCAGTGCTCCGTGCACTATTTGATTGCATCAGACCCCTAAGGGCTTCTAGTGCTGGCTAGGAGAGTAGACACCTTGTGGACATTGTAACCCAAAAGGATGCGGCCATCCTTGAGCTGCTTGTAGCGAAGAGAATTCTTCGAATCTCTTGGTCTATAACGCTGTTGATTAGGGGACTGAGGATTCTGGATGACAATAAACGAATAACCCCTGTGAAACACCAGACGGTACGTACCCTCCTTCATCGTCTTATCCTGGCTTTGAGATTGTCGCACGTTGTCGGCGTCGAACATTTGTTGTGTGAGCTCGGGCACTGCCATGGTGCCATACTATTGGCTGCCATGAGCTGTCAGTGGGCAAAGCCAGTCATGAGGGAGTGAGGAACTGGAGGGCAGTCAATACATGCGCATAGAGAATTGGCATCAACCCGCGTACCCATGTTATCGACAAGCTTACTCAAATCCAAGCGAAGAGAAAACCTTGTGGGGGGAACCGCACCCTCGAGGTCACACGGTAAAACCAGAGTAACGCAGGCGGCGCACGGCATACCATGCCAGCCAGTAACGAGCGGGCCATGGTCGGTTAAGAAGGAAGTGTTACAGAAACATGATGACACATCAACTTCGTTATGCCGCGCGAGGCCGCTGATATCAAGCAGGCTTAGACCCATAATACTTCTTTCTATTTACATGCTATAAGTTGAGCTATGGTGAAGTGGTCTGATCGGGCTGTATAACCAACCGCATCTATCATGCAAAGGCTGGGGTTTCGATTCAAGCCCAGTGCAACTACTGGCAACCTGCTATTTCATAAACATCCGCCTATTTTTTAGGCCAACGGTAGACATCTTTCTTTTCTATAGACATATCATTGGACTAACTAGTTTTTGCATGCAAGTCTCCGCACAAGCAGCAAAAAGACGAAACATACTATCTTGGCGTGTATAATGGTAGAGGTCACACTTGATTAATTACGAGGTCACACCGAATTGTCGACCAATGTCATGGTCGCAATGTAGCGAGGACCCCATCACGTCAAGAAGCATCTTGAAATCCTTCCTTCCGAAAAGATTTTAGACCTGAGCCCAGCCGCCAACGGTAGAGGGGGGTAAAGCATGTTGCATTAATGTGAATGGTGGTCCAGATCCTTCTTCTCGCGATCGGATCTTTTTTTACCAACGGAGCATATGACTATAGCGCTCTGATTTCAAGTCCGGATCCAAAGAAGCAGTTCCATCGCCACAATAACAATAATGGACTTCGACAAAGGGTGTTCTACCACCAACGTAAAAAAGTTATCTTCATCTATACGGCTCGTTTCCATTGCAACTATGCTCGGAATATCTTCGAGAAATTGTCTGACCTGGCAAATCAGGGCAAACAGACGGGGATTTTCATATAATTCATTTTCAAAGTTCGTGTACATTGACCTGGTGGAAGGAGGCTTTAGCTATCCGTATAAAAAATAAGTTATTACAGACGGCGGGATCGGTAGATGTCGGTGTGGTGTTGGGCTCAAGGCGATGAAATTACTTGTTGTAACGGAGACGAGAGGTGGTCGAGGACGAGTCTGTCAAGGTTGAACCTAGGCTTGCGATACGCAATGTGGAATAAAATGAGTGCAGAGAATGTAAAAACGAACCGAATCTCGTCTTTAATATGCCCATAAGGTCAGCAGCGTAAGGGGCCGTTTTTTTATCTCCTGGCAGCGCCAACATCCAATTTATCGAACGCTAGGCGTCGTTTGACTAAACGAGACTCACAAAGTCAACGACTCGGACTTGACTACCAGCAGAAAAACATACCAGTTACAAAGCTTAGAACAGGGCGGTGTAGACGCCAGGCGCGTTACTCCCCAGAATCGTTCGAATGAAGGAAGGCATGGGAGGGGAAATATCATTCGAGCCTCTAAACAAAATTCTACCATTGATCGGGTACTATTATTCCTTGAGGACGGCTCTGCGCCGCATTCCGCAAAAAGTGATTGACAGTCACTGGCTAGGCTTGCGTGGGACGCTGATGATGGTGGAGAGGTGAGGACCATACTTGGGATTAGAACCAGAAATGACGATCTCCGGTGGCATAGGGCACAGAAGGGTAACTTTGAGCCTGCACAGATGAGTGAATTCCAGCACAACTTGACAGTTGTTTGGAGCAAGTTTGGAGGTCGCCAAAAAAAATGCCGGTCCGGAATAATTTCAACAAATGCAAACAACGTCCTTCCCTTCAGCCACCACGTCGTCTCGCAAGATCTCATGAGTCATGCTTTTCAAATCAACCCAATTGCCGCCTCCACTTCTCGTTTTTAACTTGGCTGTAAACCAGATATTATCGCCATTTTCGACCTCCTCCCCTTCCCCAGCAAACTCACCAACGGGAAACGCGATTCGGGCGTCGATCGACAAAGGCTTACGTGGTTGCGAGTAGAAAGGCGACGTCAGCCTGCTATGGTGGTGTGTTAGTGAGATAATGCCTTTGTGCCTTCCTTGCTCGCTATTTCTTTTCATCTGATACCCTTTTTCTTCGTTTGGTCAACCAGACCTTGCGTAGGTCGCGGAATAATTGGTACAACAGGGGTTGCGACGCTACGAAATCAGTGGTAAGAATCTACGGAACCAAGCTAAGTATTAGGTGTTCATCTCACTTTCCTCAGGGCCATAAATATGACTGTTCTCACAAGAGTCGAAGGCGCTGATTCTCACTCTCTCTTGTAATGCATCCCGAGTTTGCCCCCATCGCTTTCCTAGCTGCCTTTCTGCTTGCGATACCTTTAATATGGCACTGGAGATCCGGAAATATTGCTATCCTTTCCATCGTCGCATGGCTGTTCGTTACGGACATGATCTACGCCGTAGATGCTATTGTATGGGCAGGTAACGTTGATATCCGAGCGCCCGTCTGGTGTATATGTGAGCTTCGGTTGTCCACTCTCCTGAACGTTTTTAATCTTCGTCTTCAGCGACCAAACTTATTGTCGGTGCCAAATGCGGTTCCTGCAGGCTGTCTTCGCCTTTGTACCAATCTCGTGCAGGTGTCCTCCAATGCCAAGCTCACGCGAGTGCATCGGACAAACGCCGTCGGCAATATTTCGACGCCTTCCTCTGTTCGGCCTTCCAATAATCTACATGGTTCTTTGTATGTCCTAACGCACCTCTATCATGCTGAGATACCAATGAAAATTTAGATTTCATTGTTCAAAACCACCGCTTCGACATAATCGAAAACTATGGCTGTAGACCAACCGTTTACTACTCTATTCCCTCGCTGTCTATCCCTCCTATTGTTGTGGAAATTATGTCCTTAGGCTATGCAGGTGAGCCCCCCCCTTTTGTTCAACCGATTATTCAATAACTTCCCGAAGCTTTTGCTGTCAGGAGTTTCATGGTCCATTGCTGACGATCTCAAAGGATCCGGTCTCACACCTTCCCGCTATCTCCGTTACATCTGCGTGGCGATCTTCCAAATGCTTCATACGATGTCACAACTTTTCCTATATAATTATCCCCGGCGGGGAAGGTCCGAAGCCGGAACCGCGACACGTGATGGGATTCTTTTCACCCGACGAGTTCGAGCTGTCCGCTCCCCCGTTGAGACCGCCTCTCCAAATTCATCAGCGCCCAGAGACAAGGAGCCTGATGACCTTCAAAAACTCATCAAGTGGCAGGAGGAACGGCTAGCGAGACGACTTCGTGGCGAATACGAATCCGCGGTGCTCCATCTTTCAGAGGTCGTGAGTTGCTCCCATCTCTCACGTCATCAGACACAATATCGACCCCTTCGCTGGATTGAAGGCAACCACCAGACATCCGTCACCATCTCCTCTGTTCGCGTCGAAGGTGCAACCCACAACACGAAAGTCTTTCTTAGGCTTCATCATCGACCCCGCGTTAAAGGCATCGACTATATCTCCCCTCGACTCCCAAACCAATTCATAATCCGTTCTCCATACCACCCGTAGAATATATCATATTATGAACAAGTCGGACCTTTTCGCAACGATGGAAGCAAAAATTGAACGGGCCCGTGATCTCCCCGCAAATAATGAAGGTGTCGACCTGGTTTTCAAACCCGGCGAACGAGGTAGCTCGACTGAGCTTGGGAAAAATGAAGGTAGTGCGGTCAGTTTTTCACTCCTCTCAACCCACCTTTGAACGACTCATGAAGGGTGACATAGAGCGCGTCAGCACGCGTCCGTAATGTCTTCGGAGGTGCAGAGACATTCACAGCGAATTCCTCGCTCGGCACGACAACCAAACGCGCATTCCGTGCTTCCCTGGTGACGCCCTTAACATCCGACCTCGACAAATTCGCGGAGTTGGCGGCTAGATAGCGGCGCAAGCGCTATCCCTGACTCTGTTTGAAAACAATAACATGCAAATCAAATGCAAATTGCGTATCATAAATAATTTACACAACCCACCTGAATAATCTTCTACACTTATTAGTTGCCTGCTCGTCGCCGAACCGCTAGCGCGGTTCGCTCCTCGCAGGCCAGCCGAGGTTCTATGTACCTTACGGCCGAGTGGACAGAACGGAACAAGCCGAAGATCGTGGGAATCAATTTCATACCCAACTTTTGCTCTCTGTTCCAGACTCGGGGATCCATTCGTTTGCGCTTCAATCGCCAGCGGCCACCCGCTTCCGCCACATAAAGGGCTCGTCTTCATAGCTGCACATGTGCATCACTCGACGTCCAACGTTCAAACTTTCAACGTTCAACCATACAACTTCAGCTGTCTCCAGTCCAAGGCCGCCTCTATAGTACTCGTTGGTACTCGTAGTACTCGCCACTATTATAGCCAGCCGTCCCTTCAAAGTTATTTATTCATTCAAAGAACAGGTGACCCAGGGCGCTCTAACTCCCAACAACCTGACTCGGACTACGCCCCTTTCCAATGGCCATCGCTGGTCCTGCTGCAGCAGCACTCGCCTCATTGAAACCTGATCAGGTTACTTTTCTACAATCTCTTGAAAAAGCTGAACTTCACGCCCACCTCAACGGTTCTATACCTATTGCGGTCATCCAACAGCTTGGCAAGGAATACGTAAACTCTCCATCATCCACACGCGGCGATGCAATCTACGCCACGATAGAACGACTCATTTACTCTTCTGCGGCGAACCATCCATGGGGGACGTTGCGGATTTTCAAACATTTTTCTGTGAAGCGAAGAAAGCGGGATTGGGTGTCACGTTGCATATCGCCGAGGTGAGACCTCTTACAACTTAAAAACCCCTTCGTAAACATTTATACCCATATTTAGATCATTTCTAGCACCCCCGAGGAGACTCTGAAGCTCTTGTCTTTCCAACCCGACCGCTTGGGGCACGCCACATTTCTCAACAAGGAAGCTATGGATACCGTGATAAAAAATAACATCTGCGTTGAGATCTGCTTAAATTCTAATTTATTGTGAGCAGTGTTCAATAATTTTTTCGCGAACTTTCCAAATTGCTATTGGTGCAGGAGCAAAACGGTAACTGCATTGGAGTCCCATCACATTCGTCAATATCTCAAGGAAAATCATTTGATCGCCATTTGTGTATGTCCTCTTTTTTTATTATCATTTGACCAAAGTCAGTCATTGAGTTACGCAGACGGACGACATCCTGCCTTTTCGTACTTCTCTGTTGGCAGAATACGCCCTTCTTCTTGCTCAACCTCCGTTAGGCCTTGGTCTAACTCAGGACGAAGTTAAGGGGATTGGAGAAATGAGTCTGCGGGCCAGATTCACAATGGGTTCTAGTTAAGGTATTTCGCATGCATTATCTGTCTTCTCGCTTCAAACGATAACAGGTTGCTGAGTTTCAGAGGCCACAATCACCATTATTGGTGCGTCCCACTTAGACATGAACGAAGTTGTGTGCTCACAGTAAGAAGAGAAAAACTGGTCATCGTACACGCTACTTCGGACTGACTATTTAATACCCAGTCTCCATTGATAGGATTTTTATTTATGTGAGGACAAGGAGGTGGTGATTGATACAATTAATAGCGTCACCTCTCAGTCAGGCGTTCAACTGCTTCCCTATCGCGAGAGGACTCCTCGTTGACCATGGGTCGAGATAAGCCTCCCCTTCCGTCTTGTGGTGCTATGATGCTTAAGACGATAGTATGCAAGCTTCCAAGTTAAAATGCTAGTTGTTGGTTTTCAAGGCAACAGGTCTTGAAATATACAATCATCCGATGACTTGGAGCAACTCGAGCAGTGTCATAAATTTGTAAAAGAGCGAAACATCACCTACGAATACATAAGAAATAGCCAATCGGAGCTTTGTAATAACCGAACCCTAACCCCAAATGGATGGTGATGGATCATGTGCATGGTTATCGATTATCGATTATCAAGCACTCCCAAGCCCACTCGTGCTGTAGATTGATTTTAAAGTGCACGAGTGGCAGAAAGATGAACATTTTACATTCGACCTTTGCATGTGAGCTCCTGCCAAGCTCCTGCACCATTCCCCTTCATCTAATTTTTATCTGACTGAAGCCAAACAGGAAAACCACCACACCCAAAAGTACATAACCCTGTTCGTGCGACGCACAATAGGTACCTGCACACATCGCGGCCAAGAAACTCCGACTCCTGCCATTTACCCAACGCACATGCATCAAATACATCAAACAACAAGCCACCAACTGTCTCAGGAGGGGTTGAAGCACAAGGCGTAGAAATTGCGCAGCGTGTCTCTGCAAACCTACATACGTACAACTCCAGAATTACCGAGACTGCGACACCCGCAATTGAGGTTCTACCTCCGTCTTCCGTTCTAATTTGTAGAGGAACTCTTTCTTGCCGGTCGTTTCCCAAGGGACAGTGCTGACCCTGCACTCGAATCAAACAAAACAAGGCGATGCACGCAGGCAACACGCAGGCGCTCCGTGACATTCTCTATTTTTAGTATTCAATTATTCCCGGATGCGAAAGAAATGTCGATTGTATGGAATATGGGCTAGAGTCGTCTCGTCCCGTTACACAACAGTCGATATCGATTCTTAAGGACACCGGCCGGCTGAGTAGCGGCGTTTTGCGCAGACGGTTTTCTCTCTCCGATTTCTGGCCCTTATCATGGGCTCCTCGGATTTCAGTCTTTACTATCTGCTGCCATATCTTTAGTCATCCCGAATCGGCATGCATGGGCTCAGTGGCTTCGGCGCGTATCATCTCTCATTGCATCGGTTTTTGCCAAAGAAACAGAACAAAAGTGAGTCCATGTTTCTCCCACTTCACGATTCAAATTATGCAGAATTAACTTGAAGGTGAAGGGGTGGTGACATGACTGAACATGATGACGTTGAGTCTGGGATTGGCACCTCGGCCCTTGATCATCACAGCGTCTCCCAGCGTCAAAAATAATGGACACATGGCAATGTTTGCAGTTTTTGATTCCGGTACCCACTTCTTCTGACAAGCTATATCATGTCAAGGTACTGAACGGAACCCATTCTCCGCCCTCGCGCTCCCGATTCCGCATCACCTTAAGGCTTAGACATGGCGGCGCTCGCTCCGCTCATAAATTATGTGGCTGCAGAACGACTTGCTACGGTGCGTATCTATATGTCTATAAAGTCCTCCTTCCCCTCAAACGAAAGAAGAACAGTCATTCGATGGTAAGCCGCGTAGGACGATTTCGAGCTTCTAAAGCTGATGAGTCTTCGCAGTTGCGGCGGCGATGTTGTTGGTATATGACTGCTCACTGACGTTGGGGATGGAGATTGAGTTTATGTGGTCATCGCCCTGGGGGTTTATGAAAGTGCTTTATATGCTTCAGCGATACCTGCCTTTCTGTGATTCGATTTTTTTCTGTCTAACTCGTGAGTACATGGAATACCTCTCTCGCTTTACAATATTTCACTACTTTCTTTTCTAGACCAATTGGCGATTAATATCGACCCGTATGGTTGCCATATCGTTGAAACGATACGAGGAGGTATGCATTCTCTTGAAGACGTGGTCGTTTGGCTCATTGTATCGTAGGGTTGATGGTTTTTGGCATGATTTTGTCCGAAGGTGCGAATTCTCTTCGTTTTATACTATGTGATGTGCTTAATGGTGGCTGTTCCTAGTAATCTTGTCCCTGCGCGCATGGGCAGTATGGAAACGAGATCTGCGTCTGGGTGTCTCTCTGATATCCCTAATTACGCTCACAACCGTGGCGGAGATATATGTGACGAGAATCTTCCTTCGCGACCTGCAATGTGTGTCCACCATCTGTCATATTTAACCGTCATCTCACTGCAATTGACACCCCATGTGAAGTCAGTACAAAGCCATATCCAGAATTTGTAGGTTGCTTTCTCACCAGCGCAAATCACATCGTGTATTTGGATTGGGTTGTATTGATGATTTACGAAGCTGGTAAGCATTGATTTCTACATTGGTGTAAGGCATCCGCAACTAATTGCATCCCAGTAATACTGGTCTTGATGATAATTCCTGGAATTGCTTCCTGTAAGACCCATACATTATCTAATTTCCCCTTGCCCATAAGCTGCCCTTTCAGATCGGCGAGGAGGGAATTTTGATCTGTATCATGTCATATATCGCGACGGTAAGATATTGAATTTCACTCGAAGAGATGTAGCTAAATTTCCTTCAAAAATAGGGATAATAATGTATATCTACCTTTTTGGTAAGCGATGGTCGGCACAACGCATTCGTTGTGTGCTAACGGAGCAAAAGCTCTTTCAATAGTCAACGTCGTATTCATGTGCGCGCTCTCTGTAAGCCTATACATTGCGTCTTCGTCTGACCAAACTCACAACCAAATTTCTGCAGACGAACTATTTCGCAGTTATTTCTAAGTACGTTTATGTTCTGCCTCTACGTGCGAAATGACTGAAGAAGCCAAGTGTGGAACGCGTGCTCCATTCACTGTTGACGAGTAGGGTCGTGCTTCATATTCGAGAATGCATAAAAAGGCAACAACCATCGTATACCGATGGTCTTACAGACCTACACGTTGACCTGGATGCTAGCAAACCAGAAAACCGATTCAGGAAACGATGGAGAGCATAATACGCTTTCATATATCCGGGAATGAACCACCCGCCTGTTCAAGCTTTTGGATTAATGCACAGGTAGTGTAATCCGGCGCAACATCTAGAACGTAGAATACATATTTTTAATCCTAGACCGAAGAACATATATTTGTTCTCCATATGCCTTGCAGCGAGACAGCTTTCATGTAAATACCTTAAATCCAAACGACGTCATTCGATATTCGTTTTTAACCGTGGGCGTGTAAGGTTGGCGGGTATGTTCATCGAGTTGTGAATTCAGTGCCGTGAACAATCTTGGATTCCGTCGTCGCACTGAAATCCAACATTATTCAAATTAAATAAAATTTTACGAAAGACAGAGTTTACATTTTTACCCCGGTCCTTTGGAATTCGGAACTTTAACACATCAGGGACATGAGTATGGCGACAAGTATGTAAATTTTGAGCCATTCGACCCGTCGAGATCGTCCGTGAGCTGGAATATTTAAGATGGTGTGAATGGATCTTTGTAGTCTCCCTATTTGAGCAGTGGTTGATGCGGCGTATCGGTTGTGAGGTATAGCGCTCTATTTTTGCTTCTGCGGCGATGTCCGATTTTTGGAGCGGATGGAATCTATTACAATACCTTATATCAAGGGGGCCCCGGGATGTCGACCCGTGACCCGAGGTAGGTGGGGGGGGGACCTCCGGCAGGCCTTAAAAAAATTTAGTACATAAGCTTCAAAAATCTATATTTGGGGCCCCGTAGCAACACTAGATGCATCAGCGGCACCTCCAATGCAGTTGAATGGTTAATAACTTACCATGGAAGTCAGTGTGTAAGGGAAATGAAAAATCTGTCGTCCCTCCCAGTTTTCTTGCTGAGCTCGGACTTGCATGGCAAAAGTAAATGTGAAAAAAAGCTGGATTTTTATGCCTGAAAAGGGAGCAGTGATTCATTTTAAGGTTCACGGGTTCACGGCCCACCAGCCGGAAATTTCTTCAAAGGAGCGGTGAGAAAAACATACCCTTTTTGGATGAAAACATACCTTATTTAGAAGGAGCGATGGGGGGGGGACGTCACGGATGGCTTACATAAAAAAAACTACCCCGTGTTGTTTCTGAAATCCCGGGGCCCCCTTGCCTTATATTAATTTTTCAGAATGCCCACGCGTGAGTTGGAGTCGGTATGTACGAGTGACCTCGTTAAATTACTTATTCATAGACCTGCGAAGGTATGCGCCACGATGCCATTAGGCCAGATGTTGGGAAGTCGTACGGTCGCGGTTCTTGATGAAATGATGTTGACAGATGTTTGCGAATGATGACGAGATGTGTCCTGTCACGTGTTGACGCGTTTTTACACTGTCAATGTCCTTTCTTGAAATTGACGCCCACATTTCAGCAACATCAACATCTCAGTTTTAGATGTATACTCGGTAAGAAATGAACTTATCTACAAGATGGGCTACTTACTTGCCTGACGATTCCAGATCCAAAATGTCGCGTTGACAGGGACTGGTCAGCCGGGTAAGACCCGACAGCGGAACTATGTAAAGAGAGCGACTCCTTTTACGTCCTCCCTCATTTCTATCTAAAGTGAATGTCTCCTTACAAAAACGAACTCCACGCTTTCGATGTTGACGAGCGTGCTGGTTTCATGCCTCCCTCTCCTCCACTGACCCGCCTCCCTCAACTCTGGGAGTTATGGGAAACTATACTAGATGCTGCCATTCATGCGAAATTGCAGCTTGGGGGTAAAGTTGGTCTTGCTGTTGAGGAAGCTGAGGCGTCAGAGGCATGGCGCGTACGTGTTCGTCAGGTGCGTGGTTTTGCTGGCTTGGGTTTCAAGGCATAAACTTACTGCGTTTGACAGCTGCCGGTCATACCCATTTGCGAACTGGATTCACCCATGCTTCTACGTCGAGCCCATCTTGTCTTGGCTTATACTCTTCATTTATACATCCACACTCTCCCGCTGACGTCTCCCATCTGTATACCCAAGCCCATATCTCTTCCTCTTAACAAGAAAGCAAACGTGTCGGTGCATGTATTGGGAAAGAGAATATTATAATATGGCTTCCAGGTGGATTAAGTAGGCCTCAAAGATGGACCTCGACTCAACGTCAAGGTGAGCTTTCGGATTTGACAGGGCTTTCCTCGTCTTTTCGTTTTTTAATTGCTACTTCGCTGCTTGGGGCTTCCTCGAATGTGGATGACGGAGGCGGCGTAGTACTTTGCTGAGAAAATTTGAGGCTGATCGTTTGACTTGTTTCAACTAGCCGAGCACGTTTCCGGCTATTCAGAACGGTAAGGAGCACGTTGGAATACCTGTTCGAATCAGCATCTCTTAAAAGACAATCACAGCTCAAAAACAACTTACAAGCCCCCCAGAATGTAGATTCTGGAAGATTAGACGTCAGTAGCGTTTACACCAAGTTTATCGCTCGACTTACATGCCAACTCGGTTGAGTGAATCTGCCGGAGATCTTAAATATAAAATTAGTTGAATGAGAGTCGCGATCAGAGTGACGGCGCCGGTCTCTAAAGTTACAATAATGAGACGATCGATGATACACTTTGTTGGCTTGAACGAGGATTCTAATTTTGCCTGTACGAGCTAGAGAAACAGAAAGAATTTGAATTAGTTTAAATTACACCAAGGAGAATGGGAGTACCAGAAATGTCATAGTTGCGACTATGATGAAATCACAGATCAAGGTCCCCCATAACCAAAGCTTTTGTGGGGAAGGTTGAGCACTTCAAGCATGTCGAGGTATGGCAAAAGGGAACGTACCTCAGCTGAAATGTCTAAAGTAAACTGTCGGTTGATCAAGCTTGCAGATTGAGCGCACTATTATCAAACAATGAAATTTTTGCCGTGAAGTTATTCTGAACCACGTACAGCTACTCCACTGGCAATCGCAGCCACTAGTTGCATACTCGCCACATATAAAAAGGTCAATGGATGTAAAATAAACCAGGGAAGGCCGTTAACCAAAGAGATGATGCTTGAAATAATTTGATAGATTATGAACCCTCTTTTCAGGGTCCGTATTCGCCCAGAAGGATGTTGGAGGTTATGGGTGGAAATGAGGTTTTATGAGGACTCACCAGGCAAAAAAGATCTGAACAATGCAGGATTCTATTGATGGCGAGGTCAGTACGTCGAAGGATCAATTAAATGGAAGACTCGCCTATCCCGGTGAGTGGTACGGTAAAGACCAAGGGGGTGGCGGAACGTGGATCCCGCATATAGGGTTAGGGGGGGGGGGGGGCGCTAGGGGGTCGAAATATTTTTTGGGACCTACCTCAGAAAAGTCCTTCCAATAAGCCCAAATAATGCTCACAAAGAAGTTAGGAAGTTCAGATGCACAGCAAACACCTAATTTACGTATTTACTGTCCAAAATTGTGACTGAGAGCCAAAAAAATCAACAAACTTTTTTGCAATGCTACTCAGGTTCACAAAAAGTATGGTTAAGAAGAAGTAAGTGTCTGTATTATATATCTAATCAAAAGCAATAATATATTACAGAAAAGAGTCGGTGTTTACGAGCGACAGCAAGCTTCGGTGCCCAGAATGTGAGGAGGACATTCCTGTTGGTACAGGTGGTAAAGCAAATCTGGAACAGCATATCGGATCGAGAGCATGCGAAGCCGCCATCTCCTCGAGAAGAAAGCAAAAAAACATACCGTCCATTTGCTCCTTTTTTGGACCAAAAATCCCTCTAAATCCACCAACGACAAGCGCACCCCCGCTCCTTCATTCAACAGTACAAGTGGTGTCCAGCTCGACAATCGGACTCGCGCGCCCGAGCATATCCCAAGGTGCAAACACACAAAGGGAGCCTTGCCCACTCGCCATGACCTTACTTTCAAAGCTCAGGGTCAGCGTTGAAAGAATACCAAACGAGGTCCCGCCCGCCGATGGGGCTCACCCCCTGGCAGTCTTTGCAGGGGATCCAGCCGCCTACTTTTTGGACCGAGGATGTCACGGTTGTGGGGAGGAAGTAAGTTTGATTGAGAGAGAGGGAGGAGATGCTATTGAGTGCAAGGGAGAGGGTTGCGAGACTCTATGGGTACGTAAATATTTTGGAAATCATCGAAATGTTTTTCTGACCAGCCGCTCACTTTAGTTTCACCTGAAATGCGTGAAGGTTAGCCGTGGAGTAAAGTCTTGGATGTGTCCGACTTGTTTGGATATGGGGGTGAAGCGTCGTCGCATGTAGAAACTCAAAAAATGTTGAAATCTTAATGTTTTTGACATAAGAACTTGGAAAATTTCCTTTTTTGGGGGGGTAAGGGGGGGTACGCCAAGGGTGCCTTAATTCATTTTGGGACTGTATATGCAAAAACCACGTTCCGCCACCCCCTTGGTAAAGACAGGAAACACGGAAGGGCCAAAGAAATTTGTTGGGTTTCCCCATGCAACTACTAAGCTTTGCCAAGCACCCCCGCAGTCACAGCCATCGACCGCACCTGATCAACGGCGAGGCATACCCAAACTAACATATGGCACATGAAGGCGAGACAACAAAGATCGCGATGATGCGCACCCGCTACTTTGATGGATTTCGAGTCTCTACTCAAATGATCGGTGCAGAAGAAATCGTCTGAAAATTCGCAAGAGGTGAGGATGTAGTTGGGTTAAGAAATAGGCAAGGGGGTTCCGGGATCTGAATGCCGGACCGGGGGTTGGGTAGGTAGGTCGGCTGCAGGCTGATTTCTTTTTTTTTGGAACCCTCCATGAGATTGTCCTAAATTGGTTTTCCAAGGTGATTTATAGTATTCCTGCATGTAAAATATCATTGTATAGTATGTTATCTTGACTGGATATTAGATTTCATTATATACAGCACAATTTCTGGCTTCAAAATTGTTTTTCACAATCTAATCTCCATCAAATCTCTGTCTAATGTTTTAATCAATCACAATTTATTGACAAAACAGTTAGAGACCAGTTCTTGACACCAATGGGTATGCTGTGTGACCTAATTTCAAAGCCTGAATTATCTCCACCTACAATGTGTTGCATTGGAGATACAAAATCAGGTATGTGCGTGAAGCCTTGAAGGATCAAAGTGATCATGATGATGATGTCATATTGCGATATATAGGCATGTGCCTGATTACGTAGGTAAGTAGGTCAAGCACACTGAGCCTTACAGAAAAATTCGACCCTGGCTGCTTTTTTAAAATTCTTGGACCCCCTTGGAAATAGGGTGAAGTAAACACACAGCATTGCACCAATAATGAACCTGACAAAAACCAAGTGATGATACTACTGATAAGCTGGAGGCAACTGTAAGCTTCTGCATTTGAAATTTTAATTCCGAATGACGAACGAACGGTGCGGTACTGGTTGGTGTGTTCGACATAAACACATGCGTACGATTCCATCAGCATCACAGTCACTTACCTAGAAATGGGTATCCTGGTGTACGTCTGGGGGTGGCCATCCTTTTGGTGCGGACGCTGGTCGGTAGGTGACAGGGGAAAGTGGGGATGCAGGATATTATGTTGGTGGACGGAAATATCAACGATTTTGACTTCAGGGTCAATACACCTGTGCCTTGAATTGTGAGAAGTTATGAAGTCAACTCAATCAAAGGCTAGAGCCAATCAGGTTCGCGAATTTCATCATCCACGATCGGCTTTTTCCAAAGGAAGTCGAAGAACCGAGTAAACTAAGTACTTACTCAAGAGAGTAATACCATATGCGGGGAACAACGGGCTTGTATATGTGGGCCAAAAACTTTGCACAGGTGCATCATTCGGTTCACATGTTTCGACGTTGAAGAAAAGTTGTAAAAGAGGGAAGTGTACCAACACATGGGTAGCGTTGGCAGGAACTCCACGGCAGGATTTTGATTTCCGACCAACTCAATTCTTCCATTTGCCAAATACACAAATACACTGATGTACACAAGGGGGTTCAAGAATTTAAAAAAGTAGCTGGGGTCGAATTTTTTTGTAAGGCCCTGTGTGCTTGACCTACCTACCTACGTAATCAGGCACATGCCTATATATGGCAATATGACATCATCATCATGATTGCTCTGATCCTCTAAGGCTTCGCATACCCAATTTCATGGGGCTATCTCCAATGCAACACATTGTAGGTGGTACTAAAAAATAAGTGAGTGTAGTGATTAACTTGTGCAAGACTGATACTCGCCTGTTGAGTCTCACATCCAACCCTTTTACATTTTACCAAGCCATTGCATCCTGAGTGCAATACCACACCACAAGTGCTGCAGCATTAGTTTTTGACATCATGCACAAGTTGTCTTTCACATTAGGAAAGGCCATTCTAAGCCTTTCATATTGATTGATACCTACTGTCCTATCTTAAAACATAATTATAAGTTCATGTGGGGATATGGCTGAAGGATTGACATGACATCACCAGTTTTTGACATCATGACCAAGTTGGCTTTCACCCTGTCTGCTTTCACATTGATAGCTACTGGCCTGTCCCAAACATAGTCAACTTTGGTACAGCTCTTTGATCCTAATGTGAAAGACAACTTGTGCATAATATAAAAAACCAATGCTGCAGCAATGGTAATATGTCAATCCATAATGTCAAGGACACCACAAACTACATGTCAAGTACAAACTTTTTTAATAAAAAAGCGCACACTACAAACTTTTGTAGTCTCAAAAAGTGGACACTACAAACTTTTCTAATGAATGTCAATTCTTCAACCTCATCCCCATAACCTAGACAGGGTCAAGGACACCACAAACTACATGGCAACTTGTAGTCTCAAAAAGGGGACACTACAAACTTTTGTAGTCTCAAAAAGCAGACACTACAAACTTTTGTATGCTCAAAAAGCAGACACTACAAAATTTTCTAATGAAAAAGCGCACACTACAAACTTTTGTAGTCTCAATTTGACCCTAACCCTAACTTTGTAGTCTAAGTCCAAGCTTTTGGAGTCTAAGTCCAACTTTTGTAGTCTTTTGTAGTGTACCAGTAAAATGTGTAGTCTAAGTCTGACTTTTGTAGTCTTTTGTAGTGTTTCAGTAAACTTTGTAGTCTAAGTCCGACATTTTTGTAGTGTATCAGTAAACTTGGTAGTCTATAGACTTTTGTAGTCTTTTGTAGTGTATTAGTAAACTTTGTAGTCTAAGTCTGACTTTTGTAGTCTTTTATAGTGTATCAGTAAACTGTGTAGTCTAAGTCTGACTTTTTGTGGTCTATCAGTAAACTTGGTAGTCTATATCTGACTCTTATAGTCTAATTCCTTTTCTAGGGCATGCACCTTCCTTTTTTTGGTCATTTTTCCCATGATACAACAACTGTAGCCCTTTCTTTGAGCTTTCTAAATATACTGAAATCATGTTGTTTGGTTTTGTTTTTATGGTGAAAGACGCAAAAAAAAACAAAAAAACAAAAAAGCAACAATTCTGAAATTCCTTTACCTCATATCTCCACAATGGGAGCACTTCAGAATATAATTCAAACAGATTCGGGAAGCTACAGTGTAGGGCTACAAATTTCGTTTTTGACCATTTTTGGTAATTGGTCATGTGACCACCCTCCAACAATGCAATAGACCCTGACAATTCCTACCCTGTTATTACCCTAGGCAAAGAAATGAAAAATAGTGCTAGGCAGGAATGAAAAAGGTATGAAACAGAAATGAAATGGATATGAAACAGGAATGAAATGAAAAATAGACCAGGTAGGAATGAAAAATAGTGCTAGGCAGGAATGAAATAGATATGAAACAGAAATGATATGGATATGAAACAGAAATGAAATGAAAAATAGCCCAGGCAGGAATGAAAAATAGTGCTAGGCAGGAATGAAATAGATATGAAACAGAAATGAAATGGATATGAAACAGGAATGAAATAGAAATGAAAGAATACCTTGAAAGAAATGAGATACATTTCATAAGGTTTGCCATGTTATCTCATTTCATAAAAACCTAGGCAATTAACAAATCGTTGTGCTGGCAGTTGCCAGTGTTTTATGATAAGAAGTGGTAGGGACTAGTGCCAATGAAACGGGCTTGTACACACCATAGTAGAAGCATACAATAAGCACAGACACCTCCGCCTCCGCCCGGATGACATCTGGACTGCCATACTTATCCAATTTAACTTCTTCGTCAATGGACAGAGTGAGAAGCTCCGTTCTCAGTTTGTGGCGCATGAGGGGAAGAAGCAGCTTGTCGTATACGCATCTGGAAATCGTTATACTGTCGATTTCAGTGCGATGGCGAAGGATATGACACGGGAATTGGAGAAAAATGTTGTTGACCCGTCTTTGTGTGCGTGGATCCTCCCGATGTTCAGCACGACGACTACGACGGATACGATCATCGCTTCTGTGATTATGATGTCGAGCATGAAGAAGTACTTTGATTACAAGTTCTGTCTTGATTGTGGGATTCCAAGCATTACACTGGAAGGTGAGAGAGGGGATTGGGAGGATATATTGCAGAGGATTGAGAAGTTGAAGGAATATGGAGTGGAGGCGGTTGGGTGGTATCACTTGCTGCTTCCTGTCCTTGCGCAGTTTGTGTCGGTGTTTGATAATGCGAAGAGCAAGAAGAATAAGGAGTTCTGGGGGAAAGTGTGTCATTATGATGGGGGCGGGAGCGGGCCGCTCTTCCTTGGTGGGTGGGTAACTGTGTTTTGTGCTTTTGATGAGGATGGGAGGTGGCTCAGACACAGGTTCAAAAAGAGAATTGTGGAGGTACGCTCATTCGTTGCTTTCCCGATTTATACTCACCTGCTTTGTACTCAGGCAACATCCTTGCCAGGATCGTCTCCTGACGCATTATCGGCCTCTGATTTTTTCGCGACTTTTACTGATGACAGGAATTGGGATCAAGACGGGCCAACTCTATCTATCGCGGGTGCACGATATCACCTTGTTGATAGCAACAAAATACCGGTGGGCTGTACACGTGTGGATGTCCTCGTTGACGATAACAGAGAAGAGATCCAGTGCATGATGACTGCAGGTTTGTTTGGAATGAAGGTCTCTGGTGATGTAGAAGGGCGAAGGGACACGGTGAGACCGATTTTGGGGTGGTGGATGTTTGAAAAGGTAGCTGAATCCCAGGAAAAGACAGATTGAAAGGCGATATGTTAGCTTAAATAGCACTGGTATTTTCAGGGTTAGCCTCGTTCAGCAATATTTACAGCCTCAAGTGGTAAATCCCAGTCAAAAATGACTCAGGTTATTCCGAGGTAGATCTGATTGCCTAGAATTGAAGTGATGTAAGGTGTCATTTTATCGACAGAATTCTATACAAATAGATTTGAGTTCGATCCAATTCGATATTACACAATGTAAGCCATGTACACAGTGCGGTTTTTAGTGTGGGTCAGCCTTGCAAATCGCCTGAAATATATCTAACTCGATTGATGCTCACACAAGCCACGCAAATCGGCCATAGTCACTGTGACTCGGCCTGATTGGAGTTGATTTTCACAGGGGGTAAATATTAACCACCACAATTCATGCTAGAGGTCCGACGTGACATACTCAGCCAAGCAGTACTAACGGAAAATGAATGTTACTACATACATATCATTCCTGATTCTTTGTCTGGGAGTTGAATCCAACTTCGAAAGGGAAGTGCTGCGATAGCACTGGATTCGTGGTACACTCATCACCCTAATTCATATAAAGATATTGGGGAAATTTATGGACAGCAGGAAGAATTTCCTTTGCAAAGGACCTCACTGGGATCTGGTGGGTTGGATTGTGAGATTGCAATAGAAGATGTGGCAGAATGCAAGACGTAACACAAGTCTCTTGAGAAATGAGCATAAGAAGAGCTCGGGCTTCCCGACTTGACTGAACGACAGTGGCCTGACCCTTCAAGGACCCTTAGACTATTCCGTTTCCAAATGGGCAACTAGAAATCTGCGTGGCGTGCCTTCCACATCAGGAAAAAAAAATGTATATGTAGTTTTCTTCAGAAAGTCAATAGCTTCCATTGCTCCAAGTAGTGCTGATAAACTCTGGTTATGCACCCATAGTCCAGGTACACTCAGTTCATTTGTTCATAAACTCAATAGCTTCCAATATTTTCAACTCATTTCCCCATAGACCTTGATTGTTGTTCCTACAGTGTCAGTAGACCAAGTAGTTTCTGCTCAAAATATTGAGGTTGCTTGACTATTTCAGTAGACCCATGGATTTCACCATCTGTCATATACATTGTCAAAAATAGTGCAAACACCGTGAATCAAACCCTCAGCTCCACAAGACATCTCAGGGGTGGACGAGAGAGCAATCTAGCAGCTGCACCGTACAACTGTTTAAACTTTAAAGCAACTAAACAGAGCTCACTAGATGCTGTTGTCACATAGCCACACCCAAATCTGAGGTGAGGACTTAGACAAAATTTCATTCATTGATTGTTGGTGTTTGGCCACGCTTGATTTGGGCGTCCCACAACCTGCCCACAAACTCCTCAACCACTACCATCATCGATCATCCATGACGCCCACTCACGACTGCCGCACCACCACCATCACCAATGGCCACCACAACCCACAACCCTCATTGACCACCCACAACCGGCCCAGCATGCCCCAACACCACAAGAACAACACGGCAATGCCACATCACCAGCTCTGGCAAGAAAACGAGCACCTGCAACATCGACGCGACAACGAGGACAGTGACAACGTTGTGTGCCAACCCAGGTGAGCTAACACAACCCCTGCCCCCCATTCCTTTAGTCATACAATGTTCAGGTGCCATGTCACTAGAAGATGTGGCAACCAAACGGTGAATGACAACCAATTCACTGTTCGTTGTCCGGACTGACACGACACAACGACGGTGCAACACCAACACAGGACAGCGACGACTCAACAACAATACGGAACTACCATGTGACTACGACACGGGACAAGGATGTGCCACGTCATCCCAGATGGCGACAACACATGCCGTCATCACTGTCCACAGTAGACAGGTGAGCACATCACATTGTAAGCCCCACCAGCTCCTCTTGTTCCCCTTTCTAATAGCCACAACCCACCTAGCGGCCAACATAACCACCGCCATGTCACCACCTCACCCTCTGCAACATTGAGCAATGTGACCCGACGACGATGATGACAACACACGACAATGGCTACATGATGATGGAGATGGATGGACGACGACGATACAGGTGGCGGCAATAACGGACGACCACAACCACAGTGCACAACACGACGAAAATGACCATGACGATGGATGACACAAAGACAATGATGATGGACAACAACATCAACGACGCTTGAGCGCTCCCTCCCAAACCTGAATGAGGATACCCTGGTGTCCCTTCATTCATGTGTAATGTTATCCATTATTTTCACCTTTCATACTTTCTTGGATATTGGCTTTAAGCCTCTTTATTAGTGTGGCTGTTATTGTAGACCCCCTTGTATTAGATAGTCGAAATGCCATTTATACCCCTAATTTAATTTGGAAACAAGAAAATTAGTGGCCATCTACAAAGAAATCAGTAGATTCAGTACACACAAGTAGCTCTGGTAGCAAGGTGTACCAGTGCCTACCTAAGTGGAAGGACGGTGTACCAAGGGCTATCAGGTGCAAGGGAAGAACTACCCAGGCTACTGAGATGTCACAGTAAACTACCGGAGCGACTCATGGGGGGGACTAGACTACCAGGGTATTATAAATACTAGAGCTACATTGACCTACTGACTCAAGAGATTTTCTCCTGATGCACTTGCGTGCTAATTTTCACACATGTCATGCAACTTGCACGCTTGCCACGCAAGTATTACGCAGATGATGGTGCACGTGTGTACCATCCTGGCAATATTCTGTGCCAATGTAACGAAAAATAGACTGTTGTGTGTAGATTAAAGCATCTACTAATAGCTACTATATCACTATACTACAATAAGGACAGTCAGAAGATAACTTTCCAACAGAGGTCTGAATTCATCCGTTTTCCACGCCACTCAAGGGCGATTAAACTCTGCCAAAAGTGAGCATGACGCCTGAAAGTACACTGCACAATGAGTAAATCTGGGGTACATGGAATAAAGATGGAATATAACAAGTTTTTGTTATTTAATTAAAGTGGGCACAGTATCAATTCTGATGATGTAATGTTTCCCACCTTTGGGGAACAAAATCCGGTCCATTTGGGCTCTATATTCACGCAAATGACCTCCACACTGATAGCCCCTTTCTCTGAAAACAATTTAAATGTGTAGAACTAAAGAAAGGCTTCCTACCCATCCCAATTTTGAGAAATAATGGCAGGAACATCCTCTAATAAGTCTAACAAAACAACAAAGTGAAGACAGGATTAGACAAGATTGGCTTTTGGGTCAGCAAGCTTCATAGCTTTATTTTCCTTTGTATAAACATTATTTTAGTAGCCCAGCGTTGCATGGCTTTTTTGAATATGTCATAGAAAAATGTGAGACATAATGATGCAATCATGTAAAAACTTCCCCATTTTCTGGCAGAGAAAAACCATCTTGACGTCATTAAATTCAATCCTTCTGAATTGCTTTGTCATTCCCATATCTTGATTGTTAATGATGGTAATAGCAACTTTCTGTACTGAATCAGTGATGCACACAGCAGTCACGCATGCTCAGGACCTTGACACGCAGCACCATGCAGATGTGTGCATGTGCTTACGCATCAGCATGCATCATGTTACTGACCCGTGAAGGTCACGCTCATCCACACATCTGCACGCTCGTCCACTCACCAGCACACGTCTGCACGCACTAGCACACTACTATCACGCTAACACACACTTGTGAACACCCATGCACGCTACCCATTTAAATTAATGAATACTGGGTCTTTGGACAATGTATCAAGCCACAATTTAGAGTTAGGTTCCATTCAATGGAAAGTGATCAGGGTCAACAAGTATCATCCTGATTCTTCCTTGCTTTCTCCTTTATCTAAAGGCAAAATTCTCAAGACGATGGTGAGTCCCCTGACATTAAACCAGATTCAGATTCTAAATATTTCATGTAGGACTTTCTCAGACATGTTTTTCTGTACTTTGGACCGCCAGAACCAGATGAAGCACAATCTAAAAGGGCTGTTT